AAAGTATATGTTTTCAAGTAATTTGTGCCTCTGGCATTTCTTCATGGGTTGGTAGTTTAGCAATATTTAATTCTCTAATTTTTTTAAACTTTTTTTTGTCTTTTTGAGACAGGGTCTTGCTATGCAAGATGCTAAAATAGAAAAAAAAAATCCCAGTCATTGTTATTTCACGGCGAGATCTCCAAGAAGGCCTTCACTGCAGGAGTGCAGGGCAAATTCACACGTAAACATGAGAAGCCAATTGGTTAATACTAAATCCTGCTTAGAGCCACTTCATAGTGGTCTCCATCAGCTGGAATATTAAAATCAGGGGTAAATTTTTCTTTTATTATTTCTTTGTTCTTTTCATTTGGGATTTTCATTTATAAGTAATATAGTTTTTGTAAATGTATATGTTATAGTCTGTTTTTCAATTTCAAGGGTATTTCAGTTTTGTAAATTTTTTCCCATTAGAGTGTCAAACAGATTTTTTTTTTTTTGTCTTTTTGAGTCAGGGTTTCACTATGCAGTTCAGGCTTGCCTTGAGCCCACTTTGTAGCCCAGGCTGGCCTCAAACTCGCAACAATCCTCCTGCCTCAGCCTCCTGAGTGTTGGGATTACAGGTGTGCACCACCGTGCCCAGCTTCAAACACAGTATTGTAATACTTTTTTAATTGGTATGAATGATGTTTATATTTGGGCAATAATAATTCAAATTCAACTAACTAGATTGGTCCATTTATACAGTTTATTTTATTAGTAAAAAGACTGATAAAAGTGATTAGATCCATTTGTATCATTAGTAGTACAAGCCACCTGATGGGACAGTCATGCATATACCATGCTGGTTTAAGCAAACAGGACAGTCAAATTCAAATTAGAGCTGCCTCGCTTGCCTCTTTTTTTTTTTTTTTTTAAATGTCTTTTTGAGACAGTGTCTCACTGTGCAGTTCAGGCTGGCCTTGAACTCACTTTGTAGCCCAGGTGGGCTTCAAACTCACGGTGATCCTTCTGCCTCAGCCTCCCGAATGCTGGGATTACAGGCATGTGTCACCACACCTGGCCAATCTCTCAGTGTCTTTTTACCTGGTTTTCTAAGCCTGCCTCTGAAATTGGGATAGAAGCCTCCCTAATCCCATAACTCTTAGATTCTGCATGCTGGTAAAGTCAATGTCATGTGGGTGATGCCACCATCTGCTTCCAGTGGGAACTGTAGTCAGGCCCTCTTGAACCATGGCTGCAGAAGCCTCAGTACCTGGATGGGTGAGTACAGTGAAATAAATTCTGGGGACCCGATTGCCCAGGTGGCTTTCCTGAGGAGGGGACCCAGTGATCCTCTTCTCAAACGTTTACCCTTTTACATCTTTGAGCCTGTGATTGGTGGGGTCTTGCTAATTTCTGAGGTGCCTTCAAGGCATCTTTCTTTTTGTGCTGTACAGTGTACTTGGTTTCTTTTTTTAATGACACTCATCTCTTCACCCATACCTCCTTTGCTCCAAGCATTACATATGGTTCCTTCTGGGCCATTTTAATTCTGCTCCGATTTTTTTTTTTTGGCCCTAATTCTCACTATAAACTTACTATATATTTACAGCAATACTCATTACAGCTTGAATGTTGGGCCTTCTCGAAGTTTCCTCTACCAGATCAGTTAGTCGGTAGCCCTTAAACCCAGCCTCTGGCTGGCTCAGGACATGAGCAAGGTATAGACCAGTTTTTTGTTTTGTTTTTGGCCCGAGTGTAACATGCAGGGCCTTTAGTCCAACACAGAAAGTACAGTCATCATCCCTTGCTATATTGTGGTTCACTTATTGTGGCTTCACTGTGTCACGGGTTTTAATAAAAGAAAAGTTCAGTATCGTGGAGTTTTTGCTATATTGTGGGATTTTGTGATATGTAGGAATTTATATGATTTTAATTTTGCCTAAAAATTTAAAACAAAAATATTAAAAAATTAATTCAAACATATTAAAAGAATGTTACAGTATGTATTTCATCATTGGATGAATACTGTACTGTACACAATGGAAATGCAGCAGGCCACTACCACTTGTGCAGGTTTGCCAACGTGAGATTGTGCACGGCACACTATTGGCTGATGGAATGGAAGGCGACCATCCACAGCACTGTTCTGTGTCCTGGATGCTGACTGGCTCAGCATCTGTTTGCTCTTGGCATCTCTCCTTGTGTTAAAGAGCATATGAAGGGTTTATAAGAGTGGGAAAGGTTAATAAGAGAATGGGAAAGGTTTATAGGAGTGTGGGAAGGGTTTATAAAGCCTTAAAATGTATATAAATAATAAAATATAACACTGCTACTCTGTGGATTTTCAACGACTGCAGAGGTCTCTGGAATGTAAGTCCCACGATAGGTGAGGGATCACTGTAACCCTCTTTCCCAGCTGACGGCTTGTATCTAGATGTCCCCCAAGAGCTTCATGTGCTCCTCGGCTGGGATTTTGGGAAGGTGATTAAAACATGGGGGCAGTATAGCTGACTTACTACCAGGACATGGGGTTGTGATCTGAAAGGTTGTATTTCTTTCTCTAGCTTCTGACAGCTCCCTTTAGGCTCTGCTTCCTGTCTCCCATGACATGAGTGACCCTACAGTGCCCCTCTGCCATGCCATCCTGCCTTGGAAGTAGCCAACCACAGTGGTACGTTGGTTCATAAATGCTTTTGTTTGTGAAACAATTTGGTTCATAACAGACATAGGGCAAAATTTTGCATTGGGTGATGAACATTATCGTGACTATTTTTCCCACATGGACATCTTTTTCAGAATCATGAACAAATTACTGAGGTACCACTATATATTCTAAAAATATAAGCCAGAATAAGTCTGTCCTCTTTTAAATTGTAGGTGTTAGGTATTTTGTCCCTGTGGTGAGGAAAGTAACTAAGATGCCAACTGAAACCTCAAGACCCTGATCTTTACTGTCTGCATTCTCACCAGTATTCTGGTCTTCTGAGCTCTGACCAGAACTGCCCATCAATCTCAGTGTATAACATTCTCGGACTTTCCTAGCTAGTGTCTTCAGACCTTCCCAAAGTACTTCAAACTAGCTCCAAAGGCTTCTGGAACCACATGTTTACAGCATGAACCACCACTGTACTTCTGAACCACATAGCTACAGCAATGACATCACTTCTCTCATCTCAATTTTTTTTTTTTTTTCAGTGCCAAGAATTAAACCCAGGGCCTTGCACTTGGCAGGCAGGCACTGAACACTGAGCTGCATCCCTGGCCCTCGTCCTAATTTTCTACATTAGCTGTCCATTGCTGGGACAATATCCAATACCCACAATTTGAAAGAGGGAAGGCTCAGTCTGGCTTATGATTTCAGGGCAGTCGGTCCATGGTTGGCTGGCTCCAAGGCAGAAACATCTTGGTAGAAGGGTGTGGGGGAAGGGAGATGCTTAGTTCATGGAGGCTAGAAAGCAGAGCAGAGGAACAGTGACAGGAGGGGGTGATGGACTGGGGACCAGACATAGACCCCAAGGTCATGCCTGTATGACCCACCCAAACTCACCCAAAAGTGTGCTTTACTAATCCCCTATGCAAATCTCAAGGCAGTCAGGTTCACACACTTAACCTTAACCACCACATTGTCTTACTGTTACAGTCTGTTCCTGCAATCAGGGTTTTTGTTTTGTTACTGTGGATTGAAACCAGGGCCTTTGCACTGTGCTATATCCCCAACCCTTTCTTCCCTGCCCTCCATTTTGAGATAGGGTCTTGTTGTGCAGTTCAGGTTGGCCTTGAGCCAGGCCCAGGCTGGGCTCAAGCTTGCAGCAGTCCTCCTGCCACAGCTTCCCCAGTGATGGGATTACAGATGTATGCCACTATACCTGCCCCCTAGCCTTTTTTTTTATTTAGAGACAGTCTTACTCCCTGAGCACTGGAACTTGTCATCTTTGTGCCTCAGCTTCCCAGAATGCTGAGATTATAAGTGTGCATCACAGTGCCTGACCCCACAAATCAGTGTTGTTAGACTCTTGTAGGTAACCAGAGGCAGGGAGGATCAGTGAGACCTGCTGCATCTGATAAGCCTGGTGGGGGAAGTGAAGTTGGAAAGTTGTTGCCTGAGAGTTGAAACTGCATGCTGGTTGTGGTGGTGCATGTCTGTAATCCTAGCACTCTGGAGGCTGAGGCAGGAGGATCTTTGTGAGTTCGAGATCACCCTAGGCTACAAAGTTAGCTCAAGGCCAGCCTGAATTACATAACGAGACCCTGTCTCAAAAAGACCAAAAAAAAAAAAAAAAATTCGAATTGCAGGATGGGATAACTTAGTACCTGTTGGTCACTTTGCAAATCTCCCTCCCCTTGCAAGGCCATAAAGGCCTGATAAGCACTTCTAGGAAAAACTAGTAAGGAGCTTTTTCAGAGGCTGTTCAGAGAGTTGGAATCATAGGGCTCTATCCTGAGGGCTCTTTGCATTTCCTTTTGGAAGCAAAAGTAGCGTCCAGAGGAGATAGCTACCGGAACTCATTTTCTAGTTCACTTTGTGTTTGGCAGGTTTTCTGGGTAAAGCTTAACCCTTTTCTCCAGGGATGCAGTGGGCCAGAGGGCTGTTAGGGATAATCTCAAGGGCGGACCCTTGGGGTAGTACGGTACCAGATGGTGAGCAGAAGGCATGTTGGGAGCCTCATGCCCTGGGAACAATGAAGAGAGCTTCACTTGAGCCTCTGAGGACTTTTTTTTGAGACTGGGTCTCACTATGTAGTTCAGGCTGGCCCTGAACTCACTATGTAGCCCAGGGTGGGTTCGAACTCTTGGCAATCCTGCCACAGCCTACCAAATGCTGGGATTACAGGCGTGCGCTACCACACCTGGCCTGTGTGGACTTTTTCTGTGGTGGGAATTGAACCTAGTGGCTTGTATGTGCTGGTCACATTTACCGCTGAGTTTAGCCTTTACCGCTGAGTTACACCCCCAGCCTGTGCAGCCTTGGGAAATGTGGCTTAGCTCGACACGTGCTTCCATGTGCAGGCTGGATGTAGGAAAAACGCGAGTACAAGCCGGTTTTCCATGTATTGTATATTTTAAAAAATCACAGATTTAAGTTGGCTCAAGCTGTTGAGTGTTCCTGGGGAAGATGCCTCAGTGCTTCTCCAGGTCGGACACCAAGTAGGGCTGGCTGTCCCTCAGAGCCTGGAGGAGCAGGTCCTTGCAGTTCAGGTCCCAGGCTGCAGTAAAGCTGTAGAGCGTCCTCATCCTTTCCGGGTTGGTAGCCTGTGCCCGCACTTGCTGGTACTGCTCGTCGGTCAGGACAGCGCCGTACAGGGCGTCCAGCACCCTGTTGACTTCTGTAACTCGAGAGATGAGTGCCGCCCGGTGCCGGTCCACAAAGTGTGCTGGGGGAGAGCGAGAAGAGGTGAGCCGGCACCTAGGGTGGGTGCTGGGCCTGCCCCTGCCGAACACTGCTATCCTAAGCACTTCCCAGGACAACCCTGAGGAGTGGGACTGGGGCGGGGGGCCTGAGTGTGAGCAGGTGGTGGGGTCGGCCCGGCCTGGCTCTGGGACGGCAGGCTGCGCAGGTGCGGGTAGGTGAGGCTGGGGAGGGGCTCACCTGGCTGGGCTGCCCTCCGAGGAGGGCCCTTGATTGCAGCTGGGGCGGCTCCAGGACCTGCAAAGAGGTGAGTCAGGCAGTCATTCCCCGTTCCTCTTCTGCTCCATCTACAGCCTTTGGGGCTGGGTACCCTTTTGCTGGGGATGCCAAGTTCAGGCCGACAGGGAAGCTCCGTTTTTCAACCAAGAAGCATACCTCACCCCCTGCACAGCCTTTGTAGGGGCATGGAACCGGGCTCTTCACGAGAAGCTACGTCCCCAGTCTTTTTTTTTTTTTTTTTTAATTTAAATTGTTTATTTCGAGACAGGGTCTTGCTAAGTCGCACAGTTGCCCAGGTTGCGCTTGGAACTTGCGAGGCCCACGGGGGCCCCGCCCCGCCTCCCATCCCGGGGAAACAGAAAGTAGAGGAACCCTAGGGGCAAGCGCCGGTGTTTGCTGAGTGGGAGACGCTGGGGCCCGAGCGGGGATCCGGGGGAGCTCACCACTGCGCCTGCCCTCTCGCAGCTGCCCGGCCAACTCCTGCATCCCCATGTCGTAGAGCACGCTGGCCGTGAGCTCGGCGCCGTACCCCTCCAGATAGAAGCTCACGAGCTTGTCGCTGAGATCTATGGCGTCCATGGGAAGCAGCGTCCCTCGCGGGATGCGCCCGTAGCCGTCGCGAAGCGGCACAGACAGCAGCTTCAGCTTGAACTTCTTGAGCTCCTCGGGGGTCAGGTTTTCCAGCGCCTCCAGGATGGCGTCGCGCGCGCCCTGCATGGTGCCGAGGTCTCAGGCCGCCGCCCGCCTCTCCTTTCGGCAGCCCTTGGGGATCAGGAAGTCGGCTGCGGGGCGGGACCGGGTCTCCCCGCTCCCCCGCCCTCCCCTCCGCCCCAGCCTGCTGCGCTGGGCAGAGGCTCTCAGGACTGTCCAGAAGCCTGACTGCGCGCTGAGCATCCCGGGGTCTCCGGCTCCGCTGGCCTCTAAGGAGCGCAGGGAGTGGCACAGAGGGGCTCCGGGGGAGCCTCAGCCTCCCAGGGCGGAAACCTGCGCTTGCCCGCGTTGTTTGCTCGAATGCAGAGGCTTAGAGTCTGGGAACTCTAGAGCCCTGACATCTCCACTTGTCCTTGCACCTCAGCTCGTAGAATCATAACAGCCACAACCCTGAAGTTTCAAATTCCGCACACTGGGGAGAAACGAGGTTAAAAAAGGGTAGAGTGTAACTGCCAGCTTTGCTTCTGAGACCTCAGTTTCGTTATCGGTGAACCCCATGCCATGCATAAACATCTGTTCTGCTGCCACCTCCTGGCCGGTGCTTTGGGGACCGGCGGAGGAGCCCCCCCGCCCCAGCCTGCCTCCAAGCAGAGGCCTCCGTGGGCACCAGGAAGCGGCAGCTGGTCAGAAGCTGCTGCCTCCCAAGACCTTGCCAGGTGGGTTCTGGGGAGGCCAGGAAATGGAAGTTACACAGGCAGGGCCCGGGCCCTGAATAAATAAGCAAGGTCAGGGCTTGACCTACAGAGAGCCCACATAGTTAACCTCCAATCAGGGCCTAATGGAATGCACAGGGCAAAGAACAACCTCTAACAATCTAAACAATCTAACAATCCCTAAACAATCTTTCTTTCCCTAAACGCCTTAGAGAAATTAAAATGCAAACAAGCCAGCCTGCTTTCCAGACATCAAAGGCCTGGCAACAACTAGTGGCATCCTTGCCTCGAGATCACTTATAAAAGCCCATGAACTTTATTTTATTTTTGGTACTGGGAATCAAACTCAGGACCTTGTGCTTGCCAAGCAAGGCACTGTGC